ATCTCCCGTGCAGGAGCGCTGCTCTGCGTGGTTCTTCGTCTCGCCTACATGTCCTCAACGCTCCACTTGTACGCAAGCTCCTGAACCGCCTTCTTGTTGGCTATCCTGGCAAAGCGCTGCTGCTCGAAGCCGTTGGACCTACAAAAGTAATACCGAGCGGACCGTGGGCTGCTGCGCAGAAGCTTTTCTGAAGCAATGAAGCTTTTCAGGGACGTTACGAGTTTTCTGCTACTTCTACCCCGGCTCAGTTTCCACCTCGATCTGTGGTTAACACCACTTAGCCTCTCTGAAGCAAGTTCCTGGGGACGAGCGGGTCCCTCCCTGCCTGCTGCCAGGCTTTTGCTCTGCAGAGGCTATTGACGCCCTTGGTGACAGCGCCAGCCCCGCGCCCTTCTGTCCCGGACGAGCACGTATTCACCACCCATTCGTAACTTAACACGTTCAACCTTACTACTGCCAACAGCCTCATTCGCCCGGTAACTGGGAATCTTTACGCTGCGAACTCTTTGAAGGAAAAGCTCGTTTACTTTTACTATTGTTCTACCCCATCACTGTTATCGGGAACACGTACCTGTCCACACCATCCCAGCGATGCCCGGGCCATATATTAAATCTGTTGAGTGGAGGGGCTGGTCCGTTGTACCTAGGCTTTTCTAGAAGCAGAAAGAGCGATACAGCCGTTTACTACTCCAGCGCAATCATGCGGTCACATCGTCATCAACCTAAGAGGTGTCCGCAGGCGCAGCGCGCAGGCCGCTGAACGGCCAACGACGTTTCCTCGCAGGGGAAACTTCCAAAGATAAAAATCACCAGACTCCGGGGTGGTGAAGTGTAACTCGCCTGATCCTGCTCTTTGTCAGCTTAGGCTAACAAACAATCATAACCATTACTTAACGTTACTTAACAAGCCAGGAAGGGCAAACGCCGCTACCACGCCGACTCCAGAGAAGCAGTCCTTCAGGACCAAGCTGCTCTGGCAGCCCTAGGCCGGTTATTTAACAGCAGCTGCATTTCTACGCTGCTGGGGCCTTAAACCATGCACCGGTGCAACTCGGCAGCCAAACCTTTCTTTTCTTTGTTCTCTTTGGCCTTCCTTTTTTTGATGAAGTCAGCCATGGGGTCTCCTTCTCTCTCTTGCTCCCTCAGCATCTGATCCAGATCCTGGTCGTCAATGTAACGGGCCAAGGGCTTCTGCATCTCTTTTATTGCATCTTCCACGTTCTGCTGCTGTTGCCTCCCCTGCGCTAGCCTGAAAACAAACACAAAGTTTCGCTCCAGAACCAAGCGGTCGTTTCCGGCGACTTGCTCCGTTTGCAGGATCGCTCAGAGTCCCGAACCTCCACCGTGCGCGCAGCGTTCCCAACGCACATCCAGCAACGGAGGGAAAAATTGAATTGAGGGGGTCTCTCAGCCACGGGGAACACGCGCTCTCCCGGTCCCGGGCTCAAACTCAGAACGAAGTGGCGTGCCACCACCGCTGGAAGCCGTTATCAAAAGCAGGGAGTGGAGAGCCCCAAGCTGCAACGCGAGGCCCAAAGACGGTGCTAGGGAGCTCCGGAGAACCTTACCCTTTACCCCATTTGGCGTACTGCTCGTCTCTCTCGGACTTCGCTTCAGCTTTCTGCCTCTGCTCCAGCCGCTCCTGCGCGAGGTCCCTCTTGCGGCCTGACTTGTCACGGAAGACGGTCTCGGAGTGTCGTGATTCCTCTGGAGGGGGCAGATGCCTCAAGTCACACGCTTTGGAACATTTTGCCACCTTTCAACAACTAACTGCGGCTCCTTTCAACATTTCAACGTTACTTCTTCTTGCCCCCGAGAGAGCTTATCATCCAAAACCAGGCAGGATCACCACTCTTGCTTTTAGCCGCTGCCCCACGCAGCCACGCTCGTACCCTGAGCTCTCTGAGCATCGCTCTGCTTCTTCAGGCTTGCAGATGGGGCAGACAGAGAAAGCCTCTCACCCTCCCTGCGATTTCACTGGCATTGCTTTGAAATCGCCGTTTATAAGCCTTTTCTTTCAGAGGCTCAGCGACCCTACCCGAGGAATCTAGACGCTGCTCCACAGGGATGCTCTCCATCGGCACCCTAACAGCAGGGCCTGACACAGCATCAGGAGACAGCTGAAAGCAGGGAAAGGGAAAGCGAGCGGGTGCTCGCGCAGCGTTGTTACACCCCTACCTTCCAAGCGCTTGTGATTTCTCTCGTGCCTCCTGAGCTCCTGCTGTTCCCTCCGCAGCACATCGGCTGACACCAAGCCAGCTTTGACCCCAGATAACATCACATCTGCCTGCAAATCAAACGCAAAAAAAGTCACGTTTACTGCGGGCCGACAGCTGTCCGGCGATCCAGAGGCGTAACGAGGGCACGGCCCGAAATCGAGAGAGACGTGTCAGCGGAGACGGCCGCGTCACAAAGCCGCTCTGCTGGCATCCTCGCGAACAGCTTCCCCAGACCTCCAGAAACAGAGCGGACTGAGGCGGAGCTCCTCTCGCGCGCCTACCCCACGCCTCTTCTTACTGCAAGCAGAGGGTCTGCCACAGCCGCATACACGAGGTACATGAAATTTCTACCCCGCAATCTGTAAGGCGTTGGGCTTTTGCAGCTTTCTATCACCAGGAAGTAACCTACAGCTTCAACGGAACGAGGAAACTTTTACCTTCTTGGGAGACCCCTTAGCGTCACGGTGGCGATGAGGCGAGAGGTCAGGGGGACCCCTTGAACTGTGCTGATCCTTCCCGGCCGGCAGAGTCCGTCGCGGGGGAGATAAATCGGAGCCTGAAGATTTGCTCTGATCTTCTTTGGGAGGACCGCGCTTCGGGGAATCGCTGCGTACGCCGCCTAGCCTGCGGTCTGCATCAGAGGCGTTCCGGGCACCCCTCCGTGGAGATGGAGAGTCAGAGTCGCGCCTCAGGCACCTCTGAGGCGAGGGCACCCGCCTAAGCTTTTTCGTGGCTGGAGAAGCACCTGGAGTGAAGACATATACTAACTAAACATCACAGAATTAGACGGAATTAGTCCCACGAAAGGACTAAACGTGGTGGTGCACGAGGCCAACTCCCAGACAAACCGAGACCTTAAGAGACGACAAGCTGCGGGGAAAAGACAAGTATGTGACAAGAGCCTGTGAAGTCTCTTCCTTCTGAACACGGAGACGGGGTTTGAACCCTCTGTTTTCCTTCCGGACACGTTTAAGCCTTAGCCAGCTAACCCTTCCGTTAATTCTAGTCCAGCTGATGGAAAAACGGGATTACAAGAACTAGCTGTACTGACTGAAACAGCGACCTGTCCTTCGCCATTCCACGGCTGCAGACTCCTAACTCCGCGCCACTCACCTCCCAGGAGCGCGCGAACGCGATCGCAGAGCGGGCAGCCAGCAAGGCACAGGACAGACGGAAGAAACTCTTACGCACGCTCACCTTTTGTTCCGCTCTGCTTTGTCAGGCTAGGTGACCCAGTCCTCTTTCTCCGAGGCGGTGACGAATCTGGGTCAGAATCGTACCTCTTCTTCCGGGGAGGGGACAGATCTGGAGTAGCCTGACGCTTCTGACGTGACGAGGACTTGTCAGAGACGCCGTGCCTGAGCTGAGATTGCTCTCCTTGGACTCCCCCCGATTGTGACTTGTCTGTGGCTTTGCAGCCCTTTTTCCCCACGGCGGAACCGGCTCTCGTTGGAGGCGACAGGTCCGGGGAGTCGTGGCGCTGTCGCCTGGGAGGCGACAGGTCCGGGGAGTCGTGGCGCTTCCGTCTCGGGGGCGACAGGTCCGGGGAGTCGTGGCGCTTCCGTCTCGGGGGAGAGAGGGCCGGGGAGCCGCTGTGCTTCCTTCTTGGTGGCGAGAGGTCCGGGGAGTCGTGACGCTGTCGCCTGGGAGGGGACAGGTCTGGGGAGTCGTGGCGCTTCCTTCTTGGCGGCGAGAGGTCCAGGGAGTCGTGACGCTGTCGCCTGGGAGGCAAGAGCTTGGGGGAATCGTTTCTCTCTCGCCTGGGAGGGGACAGATCCGGGGAGTCGTGGCGCTGTTGCCCGGGAGGCGATTTCTCCGGGGAGTCGTGCCGCAGCCTCCTTGGCGGCGAGTTGTCCGGGGAGTCGTGGCGCTGTCGCCTGGGAGGGGGGAAGAAGGTGAAAGCGAGAGTTAAGATTTTTGTTTGTTCTGCTGTCTCCAGACTGGAAACAAAAACCAAGTGGGACCTGTAAAGCTAGCAGTAGTCATCGAGGACGAAAACAACTTTCTGAACGCAAATTCATACTTGGTTCTGCACCTCCGGGTAGGGACCCGCAGAATTCCCAAAGGAGATCCCAGAAACCCTCCGAGGCAACCTGGATCACAGGAAGGCTGCAATTTTAAAGTCTCCAGGGACCCTTGCGACGCTCGGGCTACAAAACCCACTTTGTGCCCTTGTATAATCATCTTCTCACAAGGAAACGCCCCAGGAGAGCCTGGAGGCTGTGCAACCGCGGAACTCCCCCCGGGATGCTTTCAGAAAAGAGGCGTGCTGTAACGCCACCGTCCTCGGCACGTTCCGGGTCTACAGCGAGTCACCACCCAGATTTCTCTGACGCCGTCAGAGGACTGTGGGACGGCTGTTCGCCTATCGTCCGGAAACCGAGGCAGCATGCTGTCTGCCAGTTCCCCCCCCAGCCCAGGCAGAGGTTCTTCAGCAGCGGAAGAGGAATCCCTGCGTATGCCGCTTCTCACGTTTCACAGCAAAGCACTTCAAAAACCGCAGAACGAGACAGGCGGTACCAGAAAACCAGAAGTTAACCGACGGAAGAATTTCTAGTTGGAGCCCCGTACCTCGCGGTAGATTTGGCCGGTACCGAAATATCCGAGCTTTGCGAGTCTTCATTCTGGTCTAAAGAAAAACAATCAGAAAGTCACCGCTGTTAGGGTGCTCCACAGTTCACGATCTCTTCAGCGTTTCGAGGATTTTTTTTATTTTTCTTAGCTAGTATTATTTTTAACTTCTGATGCCGTCGTTTAGAGCGGCTAAACGTTCAGGGAGAGGGGGTGGAAAGGCCTGGTCTCACCTCCTAAAAGTCGCCATTTAGTATTTGTCCGGAACTCCTCCATGAGCTTCACTTCATCTGGACGCTCATCAATGAATTCCGCCACCTGAAGATAAAACACCAGAGTGAACAACACGGCTTTAAAGAAAAAGGAAGAAAGGATTTCCACCCTCTAACACCAACAAATACGCGCAACTGCACTGGCGGGCAACTGACGTGCGACCATCGTTTAGCTGCCTTCCTACAGCCGGGTCGCGAAACAGCCTTCCAAAGCCTTCGCCTCCAGCGCTTCTCTCTTCCCTGCCAAGGCTTCCAGCCCGTGCCGCGAGCCGCGCCGCAGCGGTCAGCAGGCTCCGGCAACCGCACGGTCACCTTCTGCCTCGCCCCGGGGCGGCTGTTGCACAGCTGCGAGAACCACCGTACCGGCCCTGGCGCAAGCTTTCGGGGCTTGTGAAAATGCGGACGCGGGAAGAACAGGCTGCTGCTGTCTGCAGGGAGCTAATTCAACCCCCTCGCGCTCAGAGCAGGAGGAAAAACACCCACCCACCCCTGCCGGAGAACCCAGCGGAAGAGGAGGCAGCGAGAAAGGGTTTGGCACGCACTGCCCAAAGAGAGGAGCCGCGAAGTGGACCACAAGGAGGACGGATTTAGCTCGCGAAACCGCGTTTGGCCTAATTCCCCGCTCACCACCGGCATGTCCCCTTCGTCCTCCTCCTCCTCCTCCTCCTTCTTCTCCTCTTCCTCCTCATCTTCCTCATCCTCCTCCCAAGCTGTTGTCTCTTGCTGCATTCTTCTCCTCCTCTTCAACATGCTGCCGTCGCCTGCTGCCTTCTCCTCCTCCTCCTCCTCCTCTCTCTTTCTCTTTTTCTTCCCCTCTGTCTTTCACTGTTACACTTTCCCTAGACCGCTTGGCTTTGTTGTGCTGCATGACTGACTAGCAGGAGGGCGATTGGCTGCTCGCCGGCTCAGGGAGCACTTCCCCACAGCTCACCCCAACCTACCCACCCACGCCTGGGTCAGGATATGTGAGCAGGGCTGATGGAGGCGGAGAAGCAGGGCTGAAGGTTCGCACCAGCGCTGGATGTGACAGCAGGCAGCCGAGCGCTTCGCAGCTTGTGCAGTGTCCGACCCCAGGC